GTCTTTGCTGTGAAGGTACATAAACCTTATGTATGATTTTGATTTCCAGCTGGTCTTTTCTGGAATATTAATTTAAAAGACTTATAGACAACATTTTCATTCCTAATGATCTTGCTCGGTCTTTAAAAGTTTAGGCCCTAACCACAATTGAGAGTCATACTTTAAAAAAAGGTTTCACCCTGGAGGATTACCATAAGAATTCCCACAGCATTTTTGTGAATCCTGCAACATGCATGGATCAAAAAGCTGCGGATGATTGTTTAGAATTCCGACAGAAAATGTTAGAAGGACTTTTGACTTCTTGAGGTGAACTAAAGCAAGTCAGATTGAGAGCACAGAGAGGATAAAACAGAGTAAACTTATTGAACTTTTGATGCTGCTGGTGCACTCGATGCTAATAATGTGCTAGCAAGAGAACTCATGCATGATATCTAATTTAATCCTTTCATTGCCATGTTGGGGATCTGTTGAATGTTGAATAGGTTATCTCGATGATAATTAAACAATTTAGTATTATGGCGCATTTCCACCGCAGGCCTCGCTCGGTTTGGTTAGGCCTTATTAGGCCCGGCTCACTTTAATGCTGCGCTTCCATTACAGTTTAGGAGCTGGGGCAGTAACTATAGTAACGCAGTGTAGGCGGAGCCGTGACATCATCTTCAATGAGAACCCATGAGCACCCCAGAAAAAACAACATCAGCCGTTAGCTGTTTGCACTCAAGCTCCTCATATCTGTTCAGAAACTAGACAAAAGTTAAACAAGTACAAACCACCGACTGTCTGTGTCATGGTGAATACAGTCGCTGGTTTATTTATGTCTGTATAGGCCGTTGTGAGTGTGGACGGTCGGAGCATATAGCCTATATTGCGTTAGCTTAGCCGATCTCCATTTAGACAACAAATCAAATCAAGTTTTATTTATATAACACATTTTTAAACGATTTTTGGTCGAGCCAAAGTGCTGTAGGCTACATATAATAAAAATACCCTACAGTAAATACACTTGACAGTAAATACAACAGCAGAGTTTGTGCAGAAATATCAGTATGAAAACGACATCCTCTGTCCTTAGCCTCATATCGTACAATCAAAAACCTCCCCGAGAAAACCCACAGTGTTGAAGGGGAAAACGGAGAAAAGCTCAGGGAGAGCAACAGAGGAGGGATCTCTCTCCAGGACGGACCAGACGTGCATAGATGTCCAGTGTGTAAATCGAAGAGATAATACATTTAAGCGTAGGTATGACCCAAGTTTGGAAATGCATGTGTCTATAATAAGAGATCACGCATTTTAAAAGGTTTTTCGATCTGCCGTCGTCCTGCAGACTTGGTCAAGCATTAATTCAATTGTTTTTTACTAACCGGTAACCCCCCCCCCCCCCCGCCCCCCTCAGTAATGTTGTTACTTTGGCATTCATTTTGAAACGTGTATTATCAACTTAAATGACGGTCAAATTATGTCCATCTTGTTGTAGTTTGTAGAAAACCCCTCGACAGCGATTCTCTCTCTAGTTTAGCAAACTCGCCCGACTCACCCTGTTTTTGCTCGATAGAACCACTGATTTCAGCACGCTTAAAGCTGAGCTCCTGCGCTGCACTGAAACGAGCCATTACATCCTCCCACCCAGCTCAGTCTATGGTAGGACAGGACGCTAATGTTAAGCAACTAAATTAAACACATTTTGGCAAATATACTTTCCGTATGGGTCTTTTTACTTTCGGGATTTAGGACATTAGTACAGTTTCACTAAGAGAATGGTTAAACATTTTGGAATTGGTTATTTGGTCCTTGCCTGGAGTTGGGATTAGATGTATGCTGCATGTTTCTTCTTGGGTATGAAGCTACTTGTCATTTAGCAGCTTATTACTATACTTATATCCCATTGCAACATACAGATAAAGCTTCTAATATTCAGTGGACATTACAACTCCGGGCCTAGAAATAGTTCAGGCCAGAGTAAAGAATTGCTAGTGAAAGTAAAATTTGTAGCTGGCTACTCAATACATAACGGCTTTTTCTGGCTATGTGAGTTATACAAATCTACTAGCCTCTTTCATATCCCTAGCAGTTAATTTGTCTTGGAAATCTCTATTGTGTGCTCATAAACAAGCACATGACCTATACCAGCTAATTGGTTAGTATGCAGATTGTGTACTGGTGCAATTGCTTTAAAAAGAGCCTGTGACCACGAACCCAACACTGTTGTGCAATGATAGTGGCTACAGTAACTCTTCGAACAGTCAGTTTAAAAAAGAAAAAGCCGATACGTTCCGATTTTAATCCTAATTTAATCATCAACTTCACCACGATCATTTATGTTTATGTTCACCGAATTGACATGAAAGCACTGATCAAATATGAATATACTGTAGTCACTTCATTAAAACGTTATTAACGTGCCTAAACTCAGTAATTCACCATTTCTGCATGACAACACACTTTGTCGTGTTTGGCTTCCTCGCCCGCATCGTGAAGCGTTCCCGCATTGACGTCAATTCCGGCTTCCCCAAAACCCAAAATGAGTCGAAGGAATTCCCCCGCGATGTTCGAAATTATTGATATTTTATCGGAACGGTAATCGCTTTTCTTTTTTAAACTGAGGTTCGAGATTACTAGTAGGCCCACATTTCATGCACAACAGTTGTTGGGTTCGTGCACAGTGCTCTTAAAGCATTGCACAGCCTACACAATCTGCGCTAACCAATTAGCTTGTAGGTCATGGTGCTGTAGAGCACACAATTAGAAGCATTTCCAAGACAAAATATCTGCTAAGATATGAAAGAGCTAGTAGAATTTGGTATCACTCATAGCCAGAAAAAAGCCGTTATGTATTGAGGTAGCAGCTAAGCAAATTTTACTTTCACTAGCAATTCTTTACTCTGGCCTGACTATTTTCTAAGGCCCGGAGTTGTAATGTCACCTTGTAGTAGAGCTTTATCTGTATGTTTGCATGGTATGATAGCTATACAGCTGCAAATGACAGTAGCTTCAATACCCAAGAGAACAATGCTAGCATACATCTAATCCACTCCAGGCAAGAAAAGAACCCCCCCAAAAGTTAACCATCTCCAAAATGTTTAACCATTCTCCTTTAGTAAAACTGTCTAATGTCCTAATATCCGAAAGTTAAAAGAACCCATACGCAAGTATATTTGCCAAAATGTGTTTTAATTGTTGCTTAAACATTTAGCGTCCTGCCTACATAGCTGAGCTGGTGTACGGAGTAATGGCTCGTTTCAGCTGCAGCGCGGGAGCTCGCTTTAAGCGTGCTGAATGTGGTTCTATCAGAGGCCAACAAACAGGCTGAGTCGTGCTGAGTTTGCTACTAGAGAGAGAATTCGTGTCGAGGGGCTACAACTTACAACAAGATGAACATATTTGACCGTCATTTTAATTGTATATCACGTTTTAAAATGATTGCAAAGTAACAACATACTGATACCGGTTAGTAAAAACAATGAATTAATGTCTTTTGACAAGTCTGCAGACAGACGGCAGTCGAAAACCTTTTAAATGCGGATCTTCTATATAGACACATGCATTTACAACATTTGGTCCTACCTACGCTGTAAAATGTATTATTCTTCGATTTACACACGGCATCTATTGCACGTCTGTCGTCTGGGAGAGGAATCCCTCCTCTGTTGCTCTCCCTGAGTTTTCTCCCATTTTCCCTTTAAACTGTGGTTTTCTCCGGAGGTTTTGATTGTAACGATATGAAGGGCCCTAAAGGACAGAGGGTGTCGTTTTCTCATACTGATATCTTGCACAACCTGCTGTTGTATTTACTGTCAAGTGTATTTACTGTAGGGTATTTTTATTATATGTAGCCTACAGCACTTTGGCTCGACCAAAAATCGTTTAAAAATGTGTTATATAAATAAAACTTGATTTGATTTGTTGTCTAAATGGAGATCGGCTAAGCTAACGCAATATAGGCTATATGCTCCGACCGTCCACACTCACAACGGCCTATACAGACATAAATAAACCAGCGACTGTATTCACCATGACACAGACAGTCGGTGGTTTGTACTTGTTTAACTTTTGTCTAGTTTCTGAACAGATATGAGGAGCTTGAGTGCAAACAGCTAACGGCTGATGTTGTTTTTTCTGGGGTGCTCATGGGTTCTCATTGAAGATGATGTCACGGCTCCGCCTACACTGCGTTACTATAGTTACTGCCCCAGCTCCTAAACTGTAATGGAAGCGCAGCATTAAAGTGAGCCGGGCCTAATAAGGCCTAACCAAACCGAGCGAGGCCTGCGGTGGAAATGCGCCATAATACTAAATTGTTTAATTATCATCGAGATAACCTATTCAACATTCAACAGATCCCCAACATGGCAATGAAAGGATTAAATTAGATATCATGCATGAGTTCTCTTGCTAGCACATTATTAGCATCGAGTGCACCAGCAGCATCAAAAGTTCAATAAGTTTACTCTGTTTTATCCTCTCTGTGCTCTCAATCTGACTTGCTTTAGTTCACCTCAAGAAGTCAAAAGTCCTTCTAACATTTTCTGTCGGAATTCTAAACAATCATCCGCAGCTTTTTGATCCATGCATGTTGCAGGATTCACAAAAATGCTGTGGGAATTCTTATGGTAATCCTCCAGGGTGAAACCTTTTTTTAAAGTATGACTCTCAATTGTGGTTAGGGCCTAAACTTTTAAAGACCGAGCAAGATCATTAGGAATGAAAATGTTGTCTATAAGTCTTTTAAATTAATATTCCAGAAAAGACCAGCTGGAAATCAAAATCATACATAAGGTTTCACTGTATACAACGAAAATAGTCCTGCGAACGCATACATACAAATCTCTTAAGCCCCTGTATGCTGTAACTAACATCCACCATCACTATTATCCATCTACATTGCGGTATCTAGGTTTATCCATTTTTCCAATTATGTTTTCCGAGGCTATACTCTTTCCCGAGGATTAAATGACATTGAGATTAAAAGTTCAAAGGTCGGGGTAATGCAAATCCATAGGTTTAGGCAATCCCAATACTCCAGTTAGATACTCTTAATTCCAGTAGGTCATGATGTCTATCCTGCTCTCATTGACCCACAGGAAGGTGGGGGGTCCTGGTTATGTGTTTACAATAGAACATTATGTCAAAAGTGGGACACAATTAGCAGAGGATGCATCGACGTTGCGCATTTAACTACATTCCGCTGTGGAGTGAACGATAAGGGGCTTGGTCGGTCTATTGTGGTCCTTCAGTGACTCCTATGTTGACTACAGATGAGTGCAGCGTGGAGGGAAGCCAGACACATGTTGACCACATTGCTGCCGCAGAATAACAGATAAATAACCGCAGATGTGTAGACAGAGGAGAAAGCAGAGAGAGAAAGCAGAGGAGAGATGAAGAAAGGGGAACATAAAAGAGAGGGGAGTTTTCAAAACGCTGTGGCTAAAAAGATGTTAACTAAAATATTGAATGAAGAAAGGGTTTCCGGGCGGATGCATTTAAAAAACTGACGAATACACTTGACAGTTTATGGAGGGCATGTGTGTCATGTAACAGAGGAAAGTGGTTATACAGAAGTTTAGGCTTGCCTTTGTATCGCAATTTAGCATTAATTGTTTCCCATTCAAAATGTAAAATGATTGGATTCTCAAATTCTGAATGCAAGCTTTTCACCATGGGACTTACATTTTGGCTATTGAATGTGTTCAATGTGATTCATTCCTTTAGTCATAGCGCTGGTGGCCCAGGCCTGGTGCCAGCACTCCGTGGTTACAGATCTGTTTACTTTTGTAAGCTGGCAGGAACATGAGATTTCCTCTGGGTGTACTGCGGCTGGTCGACCTGCAAACAGCATGGCCCTTCATGTCCCTCGCTGCTTCCGTTACAAGCTGCCTCCCTCCTCAGATCATTTGTGCTGAGGGTAACCCCACACTCACAAACATGCACTGAGTCTTACAAGGGTTCAGTGAAGTCTTTAAAACCAGCAATCATGAACACAAACATATTGCAAACAAACCCTTGCACAAGCTTTAGCCACTCAACACGACTTAAAAAAATGCCAGTGGATATTAGGATCCTTTGGATTATCTGGAGTCTGATTTATCCCATTCCTTGACCAGCCTGACACAGAGGAAGGCCTTGTTTGGAGATGATCAACAAGGCTAATCCCAAAATGGAGCCTCCCCTTATGAGAAGACAGAAAATCAAAAGCTGTAGAACACAAATACCACTTCAAAAATGTTTAATAAAGGAAATACAGGTGGTTTATTTGTAAGACTTATGTTCATGCTAACGCTAGTATGCGCAAAAAGGCAGTGGATGTGTTTAAACCCTTTTATAATGCACATTTTCGCATAAACTAATCTTAGGGAAAACGGCCTTACTGGCATTTTCTTTTGCCCAAATGTTGTTCAAATGTGCAATATGTGTATGGAAAACTAGCTAATGTCAACATGCTAACGTTTAGCAGGTAAAATATGTGTGTTGTGTGTTAGAATGCTAACATGCTAGTTAGCCCTAAAACAAACTACAGCTGCGGTTAATGAACAGCATGTTTTATAAGTATCATATCATAAGACAAGTTACTAAATTATATTAAACATCTTTAGTTGATGATGGCAATATTTTGACAAGAATGTCTGTACCAAACTTAAAGGCAACATAATTTTAGACTTGAGCAAAGTAGATGACCAACACTGTCATCATTAGGTAACTAGCATGGCTACAAATGTAAACTGTGTACGTTACAGTGTTACATTCTTGTACATTCTCATCTCTTGCCTTCATTTTTTTGTGATGTCTAATCTTTTATTCCACAATACTCCACGTTTGCAGAGCGAGTACAGGCAAATTGTTTTATTCAGCCCGATAATCCCAACACTGGACATCAATATCCTCAGAGAAGTCTGAATAACTGACATTCTTATGATGAGCCACACTCTGCGAACTTTTGTTTGTTTACTCATGTCCAGTGGGAGTCTTAATTCTCTCCCTGTCTCTCTCTCTCTCTGTTGATAATATAATCAAAAGAGCAGCCAACACAATACCTTTGGACATGAGAGGGGCCTGCAGATCCAGTAGTACTGGGGCGGCAGACAGCCAGCCATAACAACATCAAACAGCCCCTAGCCTCCAGCGTTTACACAGAGCCAAGACCACGGACCAAAAATATGATTGTTCGTTCTTTTTAAGATAAGAATGCAGACAAGCTTGGAGGTTATTGCGAACAATATGCACAGGTATGAAGTGGTGGAAGAAGTGGATGGATAGTAGAAAACAAGTAAGAAGAAGGTACTTTAGGTCAGCTGAGGTTTCTTAGGTGCCTCACAGTGTGTTTTGCATGAATGATGGATGCAAACAATTTACAGCTTTGTCATTTAAATGCTTAATACAGGAGCATGTTTTAAAACAATTATTTTTACTGATTTTCCTTCTGTCTGCAGTTCATGTTTTAAAAAAAGCAGGGATGGGAGACTACTGGAAATTCGTGAAACTGACACAGAGCCCCCCCTACTGGTTAACACAACTTACTACATAAGCCTTAACCTTAACACCAAAGCCAGTGTTATTCTGCCCATACAGCTTCAATTTCAGAATAACATTCCTCTATGTTTCAGATAATTAATTTTGTTACATTTTAAAAAGTTGCCTGCTTTTGTTCACAGTTGCATTTAAAGTTAAGCTCACAAATAGGCCATCAAATGTGTTATTAGACTATAATTTACACTGCAAAAATTGAATTTTAAGAAAGTTTAAAAAAAATGGTTTCTGGGAAATAATTCTTATTTTTCGTCTAAAAAGTCAAATTATCTTGTTAAGAATGTTTTGCTTAAGAAAAGTATTCTTATTTTGAGAAAATATCTCTTACTTTTTCTTATTAAAAAATGCTACATTATATTGAGCTAACCAAAACACTAATTTTAAGTTATTCTTTCTTAAATAATTCAGGAATCATTGCTTGTAATAAGCAAAATGTGCTTACATTTTTTTGTGTCTAGTTTAAAGGCCCATTACGTTCTTTCAGTAGCTAGATTTTAATTATAGTTTTAAAAATTCTAGCCAAGCAAATTTGGCTCACCCCATTGGCAGATTTTTTAGCTTGATACAGGAAAATCTGACTTGATTCAAGAATATTTTTGCTTGTTTTTGGAAGGGCTGTTTTTGCAGTGTAGATCTTATCTTTAGCATTTAATCTGATAATTTTTTAACAGTGAATTGATTAATCCAATCAAACGGATACAAAGTTTGTGACCAGAAGGGAGCTGACAGCCTCCTTGTGTAAATGTGTATAACTTGTGTAAATGTTTAAAGAGCATCTTGCAGGTTTTTTTTTTTTCTACATTTATGCTTAAACTTGCTTGAAAATTACAATTAAAAAAGTGAATGCAGGATTTGATATGTTTTACGAGACATAAGGGCAGGAATTCAGAGGGAAAGGAGCAATTTTGAGCTATGCTCTTAAAAACTGCTTTTTTTTAAGGTCATACGTCAAACGCATCATATTACATCACAAAGGGGAAACATCTCCGCTCTCTGACCGCGGGTATAGTTACTAGTTGCGTTGAGTTGAGCGGTTGTGTTTTAAGGAGCTGGTATTTTTCGGTAGTTTTACATTGTATTTCACCATTTGTAATCATGGTGCAGTATTGTGTTTGTGCAGGTTGCACAAATACCAGCCTGTCAGGACATCGAGTCCACAGTAAAAAGGACCGGAGCTAGCGTTCGTTCCTGGGTGCGTTGTGCATCCACCTCCCTGCAGCACATACTCTCCACAGCTTTATCAGGAAACCGTATTACTTCTCTCTCCCCCCCATTCGCTGCTCTCGCTCTCTCCCCTCCGGTACACGGCAACGTAAGACATAGTGTGGAGTTGCATTAGGTAACGCTGTGGTGGCTGTACTGCTCCAGCCGTCTCCTTTGTGTTTGTTTGTTTCCCCCTGTCTGTGTTGTTTGTGTGTGCGTGGTGGCTGTCACTCCTGGCTCCCGGCTCAACCCCCACTCACCTGCTGCAATCAGCTGTGCACCCTCCCCGACCACACACCTGCTTTCCATCAAGCCATTTACAACGGCATATCAACGGAGGCTCCACAACCTTTCTCCGCCAGATCGTCAAGTATCAGCCGTATCTCGCGTCTCTCCTCCGGTACACAGCACCGTAGTGTGGAGTTGCATTAGGTAACGCGAGATACGGCTGATACTTGCGCATTAGTTTCTGTTATGGATCAGTAGGCTATCAACAGTCCTGCCAGTAACGTTACTATATTATCAATGCTACTTTAGGTATAGCCTGATATATGATAGCTAACTTTACAATGTTGTGATGTGACGTTAGCTAACATTCTGTAGCTAACGCCGGTCACTCACCAAGATAGCTGCCCAGTTCTCCACTGGTTCTCCTCACACCACAGCTCAATTTCTCTCCGATGGCCGTTATTTCTTCTAATCCTTGGCTGCTCCTGGTCTCTTGGACGCCTAGCAGGCTCATAATTATAAGGTTGCGGTCCGTAATATGCATTCGAATATTCATGTTCAACTTCTTCTTTGTCTTCTGTGTCGAAACTAGCATTGGGATCCATGTTTATTAATAAGTTACACCGGCCGCTCTCCCCATTGTGTCCCCCGTGTTACGTCACACGCAGG